AATTATAAACTAGAGGCTTTCATCTAAATGTGTATTCACACTGGATTTAGGGTTAGGCCTTTTTGTGTTTTACTGAAGTTTCTCTCAGTTTTAAAGCCAAAACCATGCATTCAGGCCACTGTTATTGAGCTGCTAAGATGATCCTATGGAAACACTGTGCATGCACTGCGGGTTTATATATCATGTTTATCATAGGCTTTTCCCGGCAGTTTGCAAAGGCTATTTTTATAAAGCTTTACGTTATTCAAAATAAATTAGTTGGGTCTTACTTTTTTAGGTTGACAAAATGGCTTAAAGTTGAATAACTTGCAGTGCAGCGATGGGCAGTGTGCGGTTTCTGATACACTAGTGCTATGTGCCAACTTTTTCTTCCAGCCAGCAGCATTAGGGCAGCATTAGGAATGACATCCTCTGCCAACAGCTTCTTTTTAGCCTACTCGGAAATCCCAAGAAGCATAGATTTATGCCAAGATGAAGATGCCAGTATTTTTCATTTTTAGCCTACTTGGAAGTGCCAGTAGACAGATTTATGCAGAGAATTGAAGAAGTGAGAGATGAAGGGGGTAGGCTTATTTCTTGTTTTTCCTCATGTTTCAGTGCACATATGATGTCTTGTTAATTTATTCTGTTTAATCCCATCATGTTTAATGAGCCACCTGAGTAGGTAGGAAGGAAGTGGTTTCAGTCGAGAGAGAAGAGGTCGACCTCCCACTCTTAGGCATCCATCCATTTCTTTTCCCTCACTTCATCCTTCCTCCTCCCACTCCTTCCCTGATGCCCTGCTCTCAGTTCCCAGCACCCTTCACCTATTAACCCTCCTTTCTCCTCGCTCATTCCCCTCCTCTGACTTTTAAAGACAGGTGTCTTAGGAATAGCAAAAACATTGATTTTTGACCATCTCAACCACCACCAAATCCCTCCCTCCCCCCTCCCTCCCCAGTATCTGTGTCACGGCTCAGGGCTGCTTTCATGTTGCCCCCATCGTTACTGTTGGAGGTCACCCACGCTTGAAGCCCTCAGGGATCAATGGACATGCTACTGTACAGTAAATATTCACTCCCGAGCTTGCTATCTATCTGTAAACACACATGTAGTTGCACAGTACACATTTGCACACAGACACTACATGCACTTTGCAAACAGAGACCAGTGGTCGCTCCCTGAGCTTGTCGTCACATTTACCCAACCTCCATTTCCTGGGGTGTGAATGGAGGAATCTAACTCTCGATATAGGTGATTTCAATTCAATTCTCACCCACAGGATCTGTTTACACTCCAACGGGCTGAAATATGCTATAGGTTGTTTTCCCCTTGTCACTCCAGCTGCCACTGGTGTCACATCAAATGGACTGTTTTCATACGGTTTGCAACAGCTCTTTATAGATTTTGTCAACTGTAGGAAATACAATAAACAATGTTTTCAATCCTTTGCATTTTTGACTTTGATGGAGATTGGTGGGGGAGAGGCCGATGTCTAGTAAATCATCGTATTATGCAGGCAGGCTGAACACAGCATGGTTAGCATGACAGAATTATGGACAAAGAGGTGGCAGACGTGTATGAAAACTGTATGAAAAAGCGGGGAGTGGTTGATTGTTTTTAAAGAAATGACAGAAATACTGCAGGTAATGTATGTTGGCATTTGTCAGACAATTAGATAACTATCCTTGAGCAAGGCATTGCATTTCTAGTGGTTGTAGAGTTGCATTTGTGTAAATACTATTAGTTGTGCGTGTATTTACGTTTGTTTGTATGTATTGAATGAATTTGTGTGTATTTATGTGCACATCCCTGCATATGCCATTACGGGGGTCCTCCAGAACCCCTGTGTCTCCAACTTTGTCATGTGTTATAGTAACTGACAGCTACCATTGTCTGTTGCATGCAGAAAATGTTTTATGACCTTGCGACTGAGCCAAAACATTTCTACAGTGCACTTGTAAAATCCACAGCCCCAAAAAGTCCAAATCCTCAGAGGCCGCAGACAGAAATGTATTGACCAGAATCCCTGCCTTGCAAGTCAAGTGTTGAAAAATTGTGATGACATTTAAACGGAGAAAATTAAGAACAAGTAATTTGCACTTCAGATATATTTTATGTGCTCAAAATAAAGGGATTTTGCATATTTCACAGTTGACATTGGTATTGCAGAATTCAGAAATGAATTGTGTTTTTTTTTTTTTTTTTGTTTGTGTCACAGCAGCTTTGGCCGTGGTGTGTGTGGTGTGGTGTGTGTGTGTGTGGCGGGGGGGGGGGGGGTGGATTAACCAGTGCAGGATCTGTCATAGTGACATTTGTGTCCCCTGGCGGAGCAGCAGGGGTCCTCTTCACCTCTGTAACCTTCAACTTTCAGCCTTAACCCCCCTTCAGGCTCCCTCTCGCGTCCACCACACGCCCAGCACGTCTGCAGGGAGGGGCATTTGAACGCAAGAGAGTGAGAAAAATAAAGGGGCTGGGGGGTGGAGAGCGGCAAAAGTGAAGAGGACAGAGAGATGCAGCGGAGGTTGAGATGAAGGGGCAAGTGGAAGATATAAAAAGAAAAGTGAGGCAAATACGGGAAACAGAGAGAGGCGAGGAGGATAGGAAATGGAGAAAAAATGAGAGAAACAGGTAAAAGAAAAGATGGTAGAGCAGAACAGAAAGAAAACAGCCTGTAGAGCAGAAGGGGCAGTACAATTTCACTAGGTCAGAAAAGCTGAGTAGTAAATACTTAATTAGAGCGACTATCTTAAAATCTAGGGCATTAAGCTATTCATCATGCTGAGGGATTTGTAGTAGTGTACTAGTACTGTAGTCACTGGAATAAGAAATAAATTAAAGGTTACTAAAGTAGATTATTGCATTTACAGGTAATAGGCAGCTATATTCTACATGTCCTGTTGTGTGTTAAATGCAGGCTGTGTGTCGGCACACATGAGTTGCAGCTGATGTCAGAACTTGATCTTGAATTCAGGCGCTGCAGTCAGGATCACGTGGAATGTGAAGAAAAGTTTTCATCTTTCCACCTAGAACCATCCTGGGTTTTCATACCGATGCACACCTGGCCAATGACTGCGGAAAGTAGGCAGAGCTGCCAAAAGTTACAAACACCGAGCACAACAGGCCACCCCCCCACCCCCCCTTTCCTCTTCTCTTCCGTACCTCCTGTCCCTTTTCCTCTGTCCTGTATAATTCTCCAGCAGCAGTTCCCATCCTCTCACCCAGTAAATCAGCATAAAATAGCCCTAACTGTGGCAGATCATAGGGTAGGGAGAAGGAGGGGTGGTGGTAGGAGTTGGAGTGTAGAGCTTTGAGCTCTGCTGCGTTTTTTTTTTTTTTTTTTTTTTTTTTTCCTGTGCCGCTCTTTTCAAGATGGGGCCCATGAAATTATCCAACAGGATTATGTAAGGCATCATGGATTCTGCTGCGTCCTGTCATCCGTTTGTCCATTGTATTCCCCACTCTCTCTCAGACAGCCTGCTACTACAAGCTACTCTACACATTGTGGTTTATTGCATATCCTCTTTAGTGGTTTTTCTTCTGGCTTTATAATGTCAACATTCAGTTTTTTGGTGTACGCTTTAGGGTAGGATCATAGCCAAATATAACCCTTGTTAAACTGGTCATACATCGACCTCACAGGTTACACCTGTTGAACTCACAGTGATTGTTGTTTTTGACTGGAGTATCTATGCTATCAAAAGGTTTGTTGCCTCCAGTTTGACTTTCACTCAGCTGGCTTTGTTGAGGCAGAAGTCAGGTGTGTTCATGAGCCTGTAGGTCTGCTGTATGTCCATGACAGTGAACCTGGCATGCGAGAAGTCGTCTCTTCAAACCCTTGCTGTTCCTGCTGAGGTCACAGGGTGACCTTGGAGCTGTGGAAACCATGTTTACCAGAGACCCCTGTGTTCAGGCAATAGCTGGGTGGCTGCTTCCTTTCAACCACGTTGTATGAGCCTGAGAAAAACGAGGCTTACTTTTTAGGTTGGAAGCTAGCTTTATGGGAAATGTTAACATGTTGCAAGAGCAACACTAAGGCAATAATTATATTGCAGTTTTATGCACTTTGGTATATTTTTGTGTAAATTTGCTCACCCCATCTTTGATAAACAGTGCTCATCTTCACACATCAGGAATAAGAGAATAATGTCTGTATCCTGTGTCTGTATTATTTATATTAAACATGAATAACCTGTACTAAATTGTGATTGTGTTCTAGGTTTTCTAGGAGTGCAACTAATGATTATTTTACCATAGATTAATCAATCAGTTTTTTTTTATTAATCAATTAGTATGTGGTCTATAAAATGGCAGAAGGAATGAGACGTACCTCACTGCTTACCAAACGTTTTGTCATAAGAGTTCTTATTTAGTCCGATCAGCAGCCTAAACCTCCCAAAATATATTCCATTCATAATAATCTCTTTTAACCTAGTTGCAGTTACACACATAATAGTAATTTGAGAATATCAGAATTGGGTAATTTACTGTAGATCTACAAATCTGTTAATCCGCTTGGCTAATCTCTCAGAACTAATGTTGCTAAGTGAAAAAAAGCTAAAAACAAAAACAAACCCATTTTATAATAATAAACCTTTAGCTAAGGTTTTGCCTTTCTAGCAATTATCCAGGCTTGTATAAATGTAGGAGTAATTAAGCAAATAAACTGGAGTATGTGCTGATATGACTTTCTTAAACGTGCATGATTTGGTGTATAATATAAGATATCATATCTACACTGAGAATATAGATTTGCATATTTACAGCACATACGGCCTAGACACACTCTCTTGTCTTTCACTGTGCACTACTGTGTGTGTGTGTGTGTGTGTGTGTGTGTATAAGTGAGTATATACGTGTGTGTATGTGTGTGTGTGTGTGCTTGCGTGTGTGCGTGCACAGACTCGCAGCAGCCACCCTTGCCCCCACCCATCTCATTAATATGTATGTGTTCTGAGGCAGCTAGCGAAGACGGTGTGTTTCTCACCAGCTGATTAATGCTGTCTGTCAATTACCTCTAGATCCAACCGTGCTGTGGAGCTTCCCCCAGGACCACACAGACCAGGTTGGAACACACTCTGCTTTTTCATACTTCTCTCACTCTCTTCCTCTCTCTCTCTCTCTCTCTCTCTCTCTCTCTCTCTCTCTCTCTCTCTCTTTCCCTCCGTACCTCACTCTCTCACTCGTTCACTGTTACAGACAACCTCTACCTTCCCTCCTCTCCCATCTCCCTTCCTTTCCTAATGCCCTTACTCACCCTGCCATCCTGTGGTAACCTCCCCCAACACCTATCACCACCACCACCACCACCACTCTCCTCCTCATCCCTATCTGTGCCTCCTCTCCTCTCTCTCTCTCTCCCTCTCTCTCTCTCTGTCTCTCTGTCTCTCTCCTCCTCCTCTCTGTCTCATTGTACGTCTGTTGCTGGTAATGAAAAGCAGTGAGCAGGTCTTCAATAACCGACGAATCAGTAATTATCATGCAACCGTGACAGGAATGCACACCTCTGTTTTCCCCTCTCTCTCTCTCTCTGTTTGTATCTCTTGCTTTCTCTCTCATTGTCCTACTCTGCCTGCTTCCTTTTGTTTCACATTTATAGCATTATCGGGTTCATTTTCAAACTGAAAGCAAAATCTGCAGCTGTTTTGCAGTACTTTTTCGGCACACTATGTTCTGCCTTTTGCAGGTTTATACCTTAATATCTCTTACTAGTCTGTACGGCTGAAGAATCATATAAGGACATTTTTCTTATTTTTGTACATTACATTTCTATTATGATAACAGTGTACTCACCAAAGAAATAGCAGAGATCTGGGAACACAGAAACATTACTAGAATGAATTCTAAACAGGCAAGGAACACAAGCAGTCACAATGATCACAGGTTGTCAACAAGATAACAGTTTACAACAAGTGAGATTATCTAAACCACTTCATTTGGAAGCAAAAGTGAAACTAAGTCTTCCTAAAATGCTCGCAGTTTCCTTTATTGTATGTACGCACAACCATGGTCAGTACAGTGGGTCAGAGTTTAACCAGAAAGCCTGTCTGTAACCTGTAATGGATAGTTGGGATAATATTTTACTCTTCTTTCTTACTTTCTTACTTTCTTTGTTAATGTTTTTTCTGTCGTGTTGGGCTGCCAGCTCAGTTTTTAGTGCCAACGCAGTCCCTGGCCTCATGTTACCTTACATACAAATCATTCCAATAAGTTCCATGAGATGAGGTAAACAGATTTTAAATTTGGGAAAAGAATAGCACTGGTATGAGATTGGTACTTGATGCTCTGAGTTGGAGTATCATAATTGGTATCAGGCGATCAAAAGTTGGAGATTTTCTCGACCAGTTTCTTGTTTGAATGCTTGTGTTTATCTGACTTCTTTTTAGTGATGTCACTGCATTTAACTTGATGAGTACCAAGTTATCATTAGTCATAGGAATGATGGCCAAAACTACTGTTGTCATAAACCTGAATTATCCTCTAAGCCAGTCATAAATCTTATCAGCTGTCTTGTGGAGGGGGATATGCACACTTTAGAATAATTTATATTTGATTTAATATGCCTTTTATTTAAAAGGCCCGCTCTTTACTCTTAGAAAAATCCACAGTCTCAGCAGGATGTCTTTGTTTCTTTTCTTTTATCTCTGGCTTCACCTTCAAAGCACAACAGTTTAGATCCAACTTGATGAAAACGACCACACAGCCTGTAATAATATGAGTATTAATTCCTATGTTGTGCATGTCATTCTAAGTGGATTAGACTGAATCATTCTCCTGTTGTTGCTTCAGCATGTGATGACACCATGAATGTTGCTCTCTGTTGCTGTGACTTCTCAGTGTGTGGGTGTGTGTGTGTGTGTGTGTGTGTGTGTGTGTGTGGTGTGCTGAGCCCGTGCGTTGTGTGCGATTTTTGCACTGACAGTTAGATATGACAGGAAAAAAAAACAAGACATGCAGCGTATTGTTTCTGTGCCAAGAGCAGCCACAGGACAAAACAGGACCTGGAGCAAATCACTGGACAGATGACTGCAGCAGCCCACCAGTGAAAGGGAAGAAAATGGACAAGTAAAAGGAGAAAAGAAAGAGAGAAAGGCAACAATATTTTTCTAGGCTAACTATTTCTTAACACAGCAACCAAGCCAGTGAGTTTAAACAGCTCTCCTGCCTCTCTGATCCACTTTGAGGAATAAACGGGCTTGTAAAAAGATGCTTCAGGCGATGTCTGCCTGCCCCACAAGAACCAGAGCATGCTATCAGTGTAAGCGGTAGAGGGAGTGAGGGAACGAGAGTGTGAGCAACAAATTACAGAATTACAGAGGTAGGCATAGGAAATGGTAGTGAAGGAAGAGAAGTGAAAAGAGCAACCGAATCCAAGAGAGATGAAAATTAAAAAAATATTTATATATATATATATATATATATATATATACAATATAATGTCCAAAAAATGTGTAAACATGGTGTATGTGTTGACATGGGCCTGCCTCGTCCTTCTTCTCCAGCGTGTCTCCTCTTCTTAGCCCCCCACAACCTTAGTTTTCTTTCATTCTGTTGTCGACCAGATCGTTTGTGTGCATAAGATGGCCCTTAAGATGGCTAGTTAGCGTGCTGTGTACAGAGGGATTGGCCCTTTCCCCTGTATACATAAAGGCTGTATTCACGGGCCTCATTACCAGGATTAGGCCTCCTTTCCTCCTTTGTGGGGCTGTAGGCTGGAGTCCTCTGTAGCCACAGTCTCTGTCTCTTTCTGTGGCCCGAGCTGGCCAGCATATGGCAGCAGCAGCCAACAGTCTCCGTAGAGGGGCTCAGAGCTCAGAGCTCAGAGCAAGGCCTCCTTTTGTTTAGGCCGTTATTGTTGCTCAGCGTAATGACATTTGTAGGCCGTAGGATCAGGGTGGAGGGGTTAGTCTACCCCAGGGGAGAAGGGGAGAGAGAAGGAGACAGAAAGAGAGAGAAAGAGAGGGAGAGGGATGGAAGGAGGGGGAGAGGCGAAGACATGAAGACAGACAGGAGTGTGGATTATGGAAATATGAATTGATTTTTTTTCTGTTCTGTGGTAGAATAGAAAGCTCAAAGGAGAACAGACTGCAGGCTGGCTTGCACGCCGGGGTGGTGCTGGGGAAATATGAAGTGAGAGGCGCTTGCTCCCTCTTTCTTTTTCTCCTCTTTTTCTTTTTCCCCTCCTGCTCCCCATATTCCTCCCTCAGCCCCCGAGACTCTTGATGCCCTGGTCATCTACAGATGCCACTTGGATAGAGAGGGAGAGATGGAAGAGAGGGAGGGGAAGAGAGAGGTGGCTAAAGCATATATTTGAATCGCAAGAAGGGCTTTTTTTTTTCTTTTTTTTTTTTTTTGCAAATGGAGCAGACAGATGGAAATCTGTCCGTTTCCTCTCAGATCTCATCCCAAAGTTGTGGAAAAACACAGTAGACAGAACACACACACACACACACACACACACACACACACACACACACACACACACACACACACACACACACACACACACACACACACACACACAGGCACATTGACACACATACACAAACTGAAAATGATTCTGCCAGTTAATTCTAGCTAACCACAGTGTGGTGTGTATAGGGCCCACTTCTCCGTAGAGAACAGAGGATAATATGATAAACACTCAGCAAGTTCCACAAACAGAAGACCATTTGAAAACTTATAGAGACTGTGAGCAACTCCACAGTATTTAAAAATGTTAAGTTACTCCACACAGTCTTGGAAGCTGCTGCACCTTTCAGCCCAACAGACACAAACATATTTTTAAGCCAAACAGCCTCCAGTAGTTAATAATGTATTTCTTTATGTTTTTGTCTTCATACACTGTATATGTTTTTTTTTTTTTTTAGTTAGTTTTGAGCTTTGGTGATATTTGCCGTGTCATACTCATGCATAGTCATCACAGCTGTCAGCCCACTTTGCAATTAAAGGGTTTAACGAAGTCATTTAGCTGAATCCTCAAGGTCCATAACTATGTGTTTTGTATATTAGTTCTCACCGTCACTGGATGTAGTTCACATTCTACTTGATGTGACATTGTGTCCTTCTGTTGAGTTGTATCTCATTGAGAGTCTGATAACCTTCAGAATTTGTGTCAGTCATTTGAACTGAGTTGACAGAATTTTTAAAGGCACTTGTAGATCATCGGTGTTTTTCTGACCATCAGAAGTCCCAAACCAGATAATCCATAACAAATACTGAAATATTCATAGATGCTTATACAGGTGAAAGTAAGAATGGTTTATAAGCATATTATACTAGTATCAACTTAATGAGCAAAAACTCAAAAAAACTACAAAAGGTGTCATTAGACACACTTTGGTCCCCTTCATACCAATCAGTCATGGTTTGAATGCCACAGCCTATCACAGTATTGTTCCCAATCATGTGCATCTCTTTATGACCACAAATCTTCTAATGGCTACTTCCAGCATGATAATGCACCATGTCACAAAGCACGAGTTGTCTCAAACTAGTGTCACAGACGTGACAATGAAATCAGTTTACTTCAGAGGCCTCCCCAGTCACCAGATCTGAATCCAGTAGATAACCTTAAGGATGTGGTAGAACGAGAGATTGGCAGCGTGAATGTGCAGCTGACAAATCTGCAGAAAGGATGTGATGCAATCATGTCAACATGGAGCAGAAAAATAATGTTTCCACCATCCTGTGGGATGCATGCTATGAAGAGTTGAGTCTGTTTTGAGAGTAAAGAGAGTGTTAGTATGGTGTTTTCTAATAAAGCTTGTCTACCTGATGAAGATCCTTTCAATAGACACTGCCACCTCTCTATGCTCCATGGAAATGGATGAAATAGGATTCTTACTCCCAGGAAATAGATACGATTAGTTCATATTCTGCTCGCACTCTTGTGCAGTTTATTTTCTGTTTATCCTCTGGTTATACTTTATCTTCTTGTACACTTCTCCTCCTCTTTGTCTCCAATTTGCTTTCTTGCACATTCCTTCCTCACAGTTTACAAGTAGCTTTCCTCCCCCAGTATACCTGCATATCATACTTGCGCTCACTCACATGCACAGAGAG